CATCCCGTCGCCGTCCTCTTGCAGCTTCACGCCGTGCTCCTTCAGCTGGCCGGACGACAGCAAGTTCGCCCGCACACCCGGGACGTACAGCACGTCGGGGATGAGCACCTGCTTCCCGGCCTCCCCTTGCAGAGCGACAGTGCCGCGGCCCTGTACTTCCTGCAGCGCCCCATTGAAGTCGCGCACATGCCTGATGGCGTCGCTCGGCTGCAGGTTGACGAAGGCTTCCTTCGTCCCCATCAGATGGTGGGAGCACCCGCTATCGAGCAGGACTACCGCCGGGTTTGCCTGCACAGCTGCCGCCACCGCGTAGAAGTCCTCTCCAGCCTCCGGCGCCAGAGAGACGGTCGGCTCCACGACGCCGACCAGCGAGCACGACGTCGTCTTGTCGTCCCGCGCCTTGCCACCAGCAGGGGAGTCGGCGTCCTTCGCCGAAGTCGACGTCTTGGACGACTGCTTCTCCTTGCGCGGCCGGTTTCCGCCTCGACGAGGACGACGACTGCTCGACCTCCCGCGGCCGCCCTTGTCGTCGTCGTCGGAGTCACTGCAGTCGGGACACTCGAAGGAGAGGTGATTGGGGTTGTGACAGATCCAGCACTCCCGACGTCGACCTCCTCCTCCTTGACCGCCGTCTTTGGTCGACTTCCAGCCACCGCTCCCGCCGCCACCAGGCTGTCCGCGCTGCCCTGGTCGGCCTCCTTGCTTCGCCGAGGCAACAAAGTTGGCCTGCGCCAAGAGTTCGTGTGACCGCTCAGCCTCCTGCATCGCCTCGTCCTGCAGGATGTATGAGGTCAGGTTGTCCTCGTTGAGCGTCGCCCTTGTGCTCGGCGCCATGGACAGCCGCTTCAGGAGGTTATAGCTGCTAAAAAGTCCCTGCATGACATGGGTGATGTACGACGCCGTGGAGTACTGCGCGGCGGCCATCCTGATAGTGGCGAGAATTCGCCGGGCTCGGTTGCAGTAGTCAGTCGCTGTCTCCTCGTCACCCATACGCAGGTGCGTCAGCTGTCCCTCCAGCTGGGCGATGAACAGGTCGTCGGTGACCTGGTACGTCGACTCAATGAAGTGCCACGCCCGGTGGCCGGCGTCGATGTACTCCCGACACCACTTTAAGGCGATCTGCACGCCCGGCAAGCAGCACCGCGAGATGACCGTGAAGGTCAACAGCTGCACGGCGCGGAACTCCGCCCGCAAGTCGGGGTGGTGCTCTCCAGGCGTCGCCACGGTCCCTCGGGCGAAGCCGATCAGCCCAGCCATCTCCAGTTGGGGCTCGATAGCTTCCTTCCAGGTGAGAATGTCGGGTCGACCGACCAGTGGGGGGGTGACTGAGATCCTGTCCGGCGTGAACTTGAAGTAGCCGTAGCTCGGCGCAATCCCACCTGCCGTCACCTGGGACTCCGACATCGGCGACAGCCCACTGCGTCGGCCTCCAATGTCACCCTGCGAAGAGCCTGCAGCCGCCGGTGACTGCATCCCTCGCGCCTGAACGCCGCCGACTTCACCGGCGTGTATCACACCTCTCTGCCTCGACGTGCCTCCAGCACTACTGCCGACTTGACCACCACCGGCATTGACGCCCACGTCGACGCCGCCTTCGTTGTTCACCGGACGACGAGAGGCAGGTCGAGACGGGTGTTCCGTCGCCCACGTGGAGCGGAGTCCAGCCTCAACGACCGCCCAGGGCAAGTCGCCATACTCGTTGGCCTCGTGCTTCCTCCTCGCGTTCTCCAACCGTGCCTCCAGGGTGTCTACCACCCCCGCGTCACCTACGGCTCCTACCATAGTGACTACCGCACAGTTGCCGGCCTGTAACTACGAAATAGGTAAGTGGTGTCTACGTCGACCTGACTGAAGGGTAAGTCGTGTGCCGTCCACGCTCACCGCACCATGCGGAGATAACTACTACAACGGGAGCTAGACTACTGGTTAGGCACGTGTGCTCGTGTGATCTCTGCGTTCGTTGGTCCTTAGGCGTTTTCTTAGTGCTCACACTGCTTGCTAGTTCACGGGGCAATTTGGCAAGAGTTTCACTAAGAAAAGATGACAACAATGATACAATCAAGTTGGCATGGCAAGACTACATCAGAGCTAGCATTCAGGTTGGTCGACTGCCAGCACAGCATGGTCGACCGCGTTCCAGCACGACTTGGTCGACCGCGCTCCAACAGTGCAAAGTCGACAGCGTGCCAACGCTGCAGGTTGACGGCGTGCCAGTGTTGCTCCCGTAGAACAGCAGCGCACCTACTTTACAGGTGCTCGTTGATGATTGGAGGGCTAAGCCTTGTCACCTGAACAGCGCACGCACCAAGTCATCTTTGTGCTGACGGCTCCACCTGATCCGCCACGTCGACCTCGGGATACCACCACTGAGGTCGGACTCGCCAACGTTGCCTGGGCGACCGTCGCACTCCTTCGCAGAACCTCGTCACCCAGGTATCTTGGTCGATCGGGCAACTATGTCGACCAGCTGCTCCTGTATATGCTCGTCGACCTCCCAAGTCGACAACCACACCAAGTCGACCTCACCAGGTCGACCACTCCTCTAGTCGACCAGCTCCAGGTCGACGTCACTCCTGGTCGACCAGTGCAGTTGTCAGCCGACCACCCAAGTCGGCTACCCAAAGTCGGCGTCACCAGGTCGACGTCGGCGCCGACTTCCAGACTGACCTCTTGAAGTCGGCGACCTCCCAAGTCGGCGCCAACTTGCAAAGTCGGTGACCTGGCAAGTCGGTGACCTGGCAAGTCGGTGACCTGGCAAGTCGGTGACCTGGCAAGTCGGTGACCTGGCAAGTCGGTGCCGACTTCCAGGTGGACGTGCCACATCGCCGACCACCAGTTGAAGTCGGCCGCCGGCTTCCCAAGTCGACGGCATTGCAGTGGCGCCGTGCAAGTCGACCACCCCCGTCGACCAGCTCGTCCAAGTCGGCGTCGCCCACTGCTGCAAGTCGGCTGTACCTTCCGTACACCCCACCACGAAGTCGGCTCCGCCTAAGCGTGGACGGGGCCAACACACAACTCCCGTTGACAGCCACCGACACCTCCGAAACGGGTTTCCACCAGGGCCGCACGCGGATGCCTGGTCTGTCGCGACCCCTAGCTGGGAATCGCACGCGAGAGAGATTCCCCCGCCCCGTCCCAGGTCCCTAGCGAGATCCGGGCGGCAGAGTCAGCTGGCAGCTGGCCCCGCGCCGAGCTCCCTCCACGCCAGCGCCACGCGGCCCGGGACTACCACCAGATGTCCCCCCAAGCCCAGCCCTGGCTCGCAAATCCCCTCGCAAAACCCCTCGCGAGCCAATCACGCAAGCCCCGAGCGCGCCGAAGCGGGTCCGGCCAATCGGAGCCGTTTCCGATCGGCTTGGGGGGCGGATGAACCTAGCGAAACACTTCGCACGCCTGGCCGACCGTGCGAAGCGTCGCCTGTGCGCGCCGGCCAATTGGTGACGGTCCATACCGGACCCTTGCTTCGGAAGCCCATCGCCAAATACTCTTCAAGCGTGCGAGGGGTCACCAGGGTTCGCCCATAAATCATCTGCAGTTTAGGAGAGTGTTCACCCAACGTACTGATGTTACACTCATTTTATTACTCGCAAATAACAAACGCGATAGACATTTCACATGACAGTTCCATTAAATTTAAAATTCCCCCAATTGTAAAACCCTCCCTCATTTTGTGTTTCTTTTATTTACATACATTCGAGAGTGCTGTGTTCTCCATGCTCGTTTTTTTTAATGGGATTTACATTTCTGCACGCGTGTAGTGTATTCTTCGTTTGTGTAGAAAGTGGTAGTTTGGGATCGTAACCCTACTTTTTGGCGGACGCGACGAGGAATACACCCCGCACGAGGTGGTAACCGTCGCCCCTTGCATGCAGTCCGCGGTCGGGGTGCTACATGGCGGGTGATGGTTCCACCCGCATGCATGAACGGGAACGCCCTCCGCCTTGGGATGTCCGAAGGGGCCCGCGGGTTAATCCCCTCCACGCGCAATGGCACCCCCCTGCCTGTTGCTCGCGCTGCCCCCTCCCCGGATGCGTCCCGTCCCTATTAGGCCCGTGAAACCTTGTTTCACGGGCTCATTTTACCTTTCTCACTTTGCTCTCCTTCTTGTCAACCTGCTAAGTTCTCTCCGCCTACGTCTCGGTGCGAGCGATCTTCTGTGCTGTAGAGTTTGCAATCGCGTTCGCGTTTAGGCAGAGGGCGCTCGTAGGGCTTATCGCACCGACCGCGCTGTAGGTAATTACACGCGTTCTGCCCCCGCTATGGCCGGTCGCGAATTAAAGGCGTTGTTGAACAGTGGCGAGCAGGGCGCTACTTACACTGCTACGATCTCGATCGCGGGCGCCACTATGGAGCTCCCCCCCGAGCAGAGGAAGTGCTTCTCCGAAGATAAGCATCCTTTCACCGCGACCTCCTTTGACTTTCTCGCATGGTATGTCTACCTTGCGATGCCAGGCTTGTTAAGGGCGCCTTTTTGGGGTCGCATCTCGTCGGCTTAAGGCTTGTTTAGGTCATCCACAGATGCTTGCATCGCGGTCGCGTAAATCGTATTCGCGTGACATTTTCGTCTGCATACAGATCCGGCCGATCCATCTATTGACCCCTTGATTCCTCTCGCGAAACCATTGATTCCCGTTCGGGTTGTTTCCACGTTTAGCGCCACACCCCGACCGCGATGGTTCTGTGTCTATTTTAACCGTTTCCCGTGCAGCGTGGTAGTTCGGAAGTGCGTGTCCCCGTCGCTCAAGGAGGCAATTAAGGTGGTGCCCTCCAATGTTGTCGCGGACATCGTCGCTGGTCGAGAGGCCGCGCACGTGGCGTTTGACGGTTTGGTTGGATGTAAGCTAGTCGCGTTCTGCCTCTGGTCCGACTGAGTACATCGGGACTTGTTGTAGGCTGGTTCTGTTTTACGAACGGGTTTGCCGGTAATTGCTGATGCGTTTCGTCGTGTGTCATGTAATCATGTCAGGGAAGTGAGTGACAAGAAGGCCTCCAACACGGGCATGTTGCTACTATTGCGGCCGGACCACCTGGGGCTTGATGCGACCTCACCCTGGAAAACCCGCTTTGTCCGCGTTTGTCACCCCACTGCCGCAGCTGAGCATCTTGCCGCGGTGGACCATATTGTCAAGTACGTATGTTGCAGAGGTGTTGTTTTTACGCTTGGTTGCTATTACACCTCCGTGTCTGAGATACGTATTTTGAACCATGCAGGTGGTTTCGCCGTCACGTTTGCCTCTACTACGGGAGCGATTCTGTCCAGTGCGTCCGGGCAGGGCAGCTGAGCGAGCCGATGCGCCTCGTGGACCTGGTGAGTTTGTTAATGTTTGCGGTTTATATGTCGCATTTCATTTGGCCGCGTTTAACACTACATTCCGTCCACCCTGTTTCCTTTCAGGATATTTCTTCCTGGAAGCCCCCTTGCGGTCCACTTGCATGTGGGTTGGCGTTCGACAGAGTTCTCAACGACCTCGACGCGGTTGTTGGACAGGACCCTGCTCCTCACATGGCCAAGCCAATTGCCATGACGCTGAACACATTGCGGCAGGATGCAAAACGCGCCGCCAAAGAGCTCGCGTTCAGATCCTAGTGCGGCATCGTGGACGGTCATAGGGGGGATGCTCACGGCAATGACCGTGAGAGGTCGCACAAACATCCCGCTGGATCCCGCGTGTCCGGACGCGATAACATCGCCCTCAACACAGCTCTTGCACTCGCAAACACAGGGGTGGGGGACCAGGGGAAACCAGACAACAAGGAAGAGGGCTCGAGCTCTGACCGCGACAAGGATGCCCCTGTTAACGTGCCGCAGGGTGGAGATGACAACAATGAAGAGGAGGCAGACGAGGCAGAGGGTCAGGGTCGCGGTCAAGACGAGGCAGAGGGTCAGGGTCGCGGTCAAGACGAAGAGGATGCCGCGGAGGATCACCAGTGTGGTGATCTGGAGCTGGAGGGTTCGAAAGAAATGGAGGAGGAAGAGGACCACGAAGTTGATGAGGAAGAGGAGGAGGAGGTGGCAGAAATCACGGCCAACAATTCCGGGCGGTCGGTGGTCGCGGGTGCAGGGAAGAGTATTCGCGGTCTTCAGGTTGTGCTGTCCCCCCCCCCATGGCAGCGCGACCCCGTTGGGCGAGTTTGCGGGTAAGAGTCCGGTCTTGGGCAAGCGGAAACACTCGGAGCTGGTGAAGATGGCTCCTGAGAAGCTGGCCGCGGAGATCCTCCATTTGAACGAGCAGCTGAAAAATCAGACGCGCAAGCTGGATGAGGTCGCGTCCGCGGTGCCCGGTGCTGAATTTGCAGTGGTGATCACGCAGAAGTACGAAGAACTCAAGGCCACGGTGGAGAAGGTGCTAACCCACGTGCAGAACACATACCGGGTGATACGAAGGGAAGCCAAGCTGGCCGCGAAGGAAAGGGCGGAGAATCGCGACATGCGGGAGGTGCTGAAACGCGCTCCGGTACGGTTGAAAGATTGCGCGGGGAGCAAGAAGGGGGTGGTTGTGGACTCCATGGAGAGAGCCCAGAAGAAGCTCACGGACGAGGTCACACGGAAGATAGACGGCGCGTCATCCAACATCGCGAGTACCGCCGAGAAAGCGATCACAACTAGAGGCGTCACGAACTCCCTCAACATCATCATCGCGATGCTTTCCGAGCGTGCAGCACCGCAACAAGTCCTCATGGACTGCGTGGGAAGGAGTTTGCAGAGAAGGAGGCAGGGAAGATGGCCGCGGAGAAGGAGGCCGGGAAGAAGGCCACGGACAAGGAGACAGTGAAGAGGGCCGCGGACAAGGAGACAGGGAAGAGGGTCGCGGACAAGGAGGCAGGTAAGTGTGAGAGCAGCAGCGGTGGGAAGCAGCAGAAAGGGGTCGCGATGTCAGGCATATATGCTATAGTCTGTGTAGGCTGTAGTGAGGTAGTTCATATGGGGTACAACACTTTAGGGTTTACTACTTGTACTCCTCATTCTGCTCAATGCATTCATTCCTCGTTTCTTATCATGGTATCGAGCAGGTTCCCTAGTGGGAACGCTACCTAGGGCCCACCACAATTTTTTTTTTCCTGCCCGTAGCGCGCTTCACTCCTGCCCGAGTTGTGCTCTGTGTGCCCTCCCTACCTTCGCGCCGCCCTTAATGGCCCCTCTCACGGCCCCTTGCGCCGCCCTTATTGCCCCTAGCGCCGCCCTCTACGGCCCCTCGCGCCGCCCTTACGGCCCCTTACGGCCCCTCGCACTGCCCTTACGGCCCCTTACGGCCCCTCACGCCGCCCTTACGGCCCTCGCGCGGCCCCCTTTCGGCCCCTCGCGGTGCCCTTTCCGGCCCCTTACGCCGCCCCGTTTCGGCCCCTTGCGGCCCTTCTGCGGCCCCGTCTAGGCCCCTTGCGTCCCCTCTGCGGCCCCTCCGAGACTCTGTCGCCGCCACCTACGGCCCCGTCGCCGCCACCTGCGGCCCCGTCGCCGTCACCTGCAGCCCCGTCGCCGCCACCTGCGGCCCCGTCGCCGCCATCTACGGCCCCGTCGCCGTCACCTGCGGCCCCGTCGCCGCCACTTGCGGCCCTGTCGCCGCCACCTGCGGCCCCGTCGCCGCCCCCTGCGGCCCCGTCGTCGCCACCTACGGCCACGCACCCGCCACCTGCGGCCCCGCCGCCACCTGCGGCCTCGTCGCCGCCACCTGCAGCCCCAACGCCGTCACCTGCGGCCCCGTCGCCCTCCCCTAGCGGCCCTGTCGCCGCTCAGCCGCCCAGCGACCGAGCCGCCGAGCAACCCAACAGCCGAGCCGCCCACCTGCCGAGCACCCGAGCCGCCCAGCAAGCGAGCCGCCGAGCAGCCAAGCCGCCCAGCAGCCGAGCCGCCCTGCCGCCGAGCCGCCGAGCCGCCATACTGTCGAGCCGCAGCTGTTCCTACCGGTGCGCCCCGGCCCTCCTTCCTCGGACTGGTCAGCTCACTCCCTCCTAGGCCACTTCAGTCATGGCTACCCCCAGTGTCCTTACTTTTGATGCTGAGGGCCGTGCCGTTGACTTTGAGGTCTGGGTCGATGACCTCCAGCTGTTTCTCCAGTGCCATAGGGCAAACGGACTCTCTCTGTTCGATCTCACCTCTGGTGCCTCTCCTGCCCCGCCCGCTACTGCTGACAGCACTGTTCGCTCACTGTGGGCCACACGCGATGCTGCTGCTCGCCTTGCTGTGCGTCGCCACTTACCGACCACTGAGCATGCACACTTTAGGCAGTACAAGAGTGATCAGACCTTGTACGACGCTGTAGTTGCACGCTACTCTTCCCCTGCCACTGCTGCACAGAGCCTCCTCATGCTATCGTACCTCTTCCCTGACCTTGCTGCCTTCCCCACACTTGCTGACCTTATTACGCACCTCCGCACTAGTGAAACTCGCTACCGCGCTGCGCTTCCTGCTGAGTTCTGCGCCAAGAACCCCCCCCCCCATGTACATCACCCTCTACTACATAGTCACCCGGCTCCCTGACTCTCTCCGTGTAGTGAGGGACCACTTCCTCTCAGTTTGCCCCACCGCTCTCACCGTTGACCTCCTGGAGAAGAGCCTCCTAGCAGCAGAGAAGAGCATAGTCGCTGTAGGAGCCTCTCGTGGTGACCCTTGCACCCCCGTCTTTGAGGAGTGTTCCCCCTCCCCCCTCTTGCCCTCTGTTGCCTCTGCTTATGCGGGTGACCTCGTTGGTTTCGAGTCGGTCGGCGCTGCGTCTGCCCCAAGCGGGAGACGCCGCACCGGCAAGGGCAAGGGGGGCAAGGGCGCTCGAGGGGCTGGCGGGGGCGGTGGAGGTGGTGGTGGAGGCAGTGGAGGGGGTGGGGGTGGTGGTGGGAGTGGTGGCGGGGGTGGAGGTGTCGGTGGCTGTCAACGGGAGTTGTGTGTTGGCCCCGTCCACGCTTAGGCGGAGCCGACTTCGTGGTGGGGTGTACGGAAGGTACAGCCGACTTGCAGCAGTGGGCGACGCCGACTTGGACGAGCTGGTCGACGGGGGTGGTCGACTTGCACGACGCCACTGCAATGCCGTCGACTTGGGAAGCCGGCGGCCGACTTCAACTGGTGGTCGGCGATGTGGCACGTCGACCTGGAAGTCGGCACCAACTTGCCAGGTCACCGACTTGCCAGGTCACCGACTTGCCAGGTCACCGACTTGCCAGGTCACCGACTTGCTATGTCACCGACTTGGGAGGTCGCCGACTTCAAGAGGTCAGTCTGGAAGTCGGCGCCGACGTCGACCTGGTGACGCCGACTTTGGGTAGCCGACTTGGGTGGTCGGCTGACAACTGCACTGGTCGACCAGGAGTGACGTCGACCTGGAGCTGGTCGACTAGAGGAGTGGTCGACCTGGTGAGGTCGACTTGGTGTGGTTGTCGACTTGGGAGGTCGACGAGCGTATACAGGAGCAGCTGGTCGACATAGTTGCCCGATCGACCAGGATACCTGGGTGACGAGGTTCTGCGAAGGAGTGCGACGGTCGCCCAGGCAACGTTGGCGAGTCCGACCTCAGTGGTGGTATCCCGAGGTCGACGTGGCGGATCAGGTGGAGCCGTCAGCACGAAGATGACTTGGTGCGTGCGCTGTTCAGGTGACAAGGCTTAGCCCTCCAATCATCAACGAGCACCTGTAAAGTAGGTGCGCTGCTGTTCTACGGGAGCAACACTAGCACGCCGTCAACTTGCAGTGTTGGCACGCTGTCGACTTTGCACTGTTGGAGCGCGGTCGACCAAGTCGTGCTGGAACGCGGTCGACCATGCTGTGCTGGCAGTCGACCAACCTGAATGCTAGCTCTGATGTAGTCTTGCCATGCCAACTTGATTGTATCATTGTAGTCATCTTTTCTTAGTGAAACTCTTGCCAAATTGCCCCGTGAACTAGCAAGCAGTGTGAGCACTAAGAAAACGCCTAAGGACCAACGAACGCAGAGATCACACGAGCACACGTGCCTAACCAGTAGTCTAGCTCCCGTTGTAGTAGTTATCTCCGCAGTGGCAGCAGTGGAGGCGGAGGAGGCGGTGGCGGAGGGAGCGGAGGCAGCGGAGGTGGTGGAGGCGGCGGAGGCGGCGGAGGTGGCGGAGGCGGCGGCGGCAGCAGTGGACCTGGTTGCAGCTCTACGCAGAGGAGTGGCTCCAGAGGTGGTACGCGCCAGCAGCAGCAGCGCAGTCGTGAGACTTTGTCCCCTCAGCAGCTTCGTGAGTGGTACGCTGCGCGTCAGCGCGGTGGGGGTACGGGTTCCTGCACCTACGTTCTCCGCCTCGACGACCGCGCTGGTGAGCAGTGCGGGGGGCCCGCACTCCACCTAGCGCTGCTTTGACCGCCTGATGGACGCGTGGCGTCACCAGTCCCCTGAGGCCTCTGAGATCCCTCGCTGGGGAGAGCTGTCTAGGGCGGGGGTTGCTATCTTTGATCTTGATTTTGATGCTATTCTCGCTGCCATGTATGCTGTTGCTGATAGTCTTAAGGGTGAGTGTTACCCGTGTGTTCTGTTGTGCCAACACATTACAGTGGCATGGTCATCGCAATCCCATTCGGCCTACAAGCCTGCTCAGCTTCTGGAATTTTGTGGGGAGGTTGTTCAACATGTGTTCTTCAAACCCTCAAAGTTTCAGAGTTTTTGAAGCAGTTACCAAGGCGTGACAACATTTTATGTTTCAAGACTTATGGCATCTCGGAAGTGTGTGTTACTCTTTTTTGGTAACACCCGAGTTCACCATTTCGGCTGCTGACTCGTCTACCAAGCTCTGATTGGTCGGAAATTCGGTCTGGCAGTTCTATTTCTCGCTGTGCAGGTGTTCATCAAGTTTCAGAACGAACCAACATGTGAGCATTACGTGACAGCTGCCGAAATGCACTGTTCCGTAGTCATGGTGCACTGTTGGCAGCATTTCCCTTGCCACCCTTTCATTGTTGTCATGCCAATGGTGCAGGGACAGAGAATGAGACAAGAATTACAGGTGGTCTAGTGGGACTCTACAGCCCTCCTTTTGAGAAGTGTGGTCTTCCTGGAACCAGCTTGCAAGAGGGTGCAAGTGGGAAGACAAGCTGACTCATGGTTGGCTTAACTCACAATTGGTTGCCTTGAGTACAGCTCTGAACATCCATGTGTGGTTGGCTTTGCTGACCTAGCTAGGACGTTTCCTATCCTTCTCTAGCCTTTCTCCCCTAGGACTCAACATTCTCTGAGTTCCCAGGATGACCCAACCCCTTATGAGTCCCCTAGGCAATGTTGTACTCACCTCTTCCTTGCATCAATGAGACTACACGTTTTTTTTTCAGCCGAGCTTACGTTTTCATTCACTGCGTAGTGCACACACCTCTGATAATAGCAAGTTATATACTGTTGGAAAGCAGACACCTAAGGCTAACCGCTGTCCAAGTTTCAGCCTCGTATGGTTTTGGAGATGATCGTGACGGCGTTTTGAACAGAAGCGGTTTGAAGACGTCAGATTCTGCTTAGGGGGTTTCATGGGCATCCGCGACCTCTAAGTGGACTCTTGACTATAACATGTTCCGCATGACCCGGGCATTGAGCCTGCTGCTCTAGGTGCTGGTGAGGCTGCTGCTCTAGGTGCTAACGCGTCTGCTGCCCCAGGTGCTTGTTTGTCTGCCCTCTCAGGTACCACGTCGGCTCAGGCCTTACACACCTTCACCCTTGACTCGGGTGCTTCCCGCTCCTTCTTTCGAGACCGCACCACACTTCCGCCACTTAGTCGGCCGGTTGCGGTCTCCCTGGCGGACCCCTCTGGGGGTCCTGTCCTTGCTCGCTTCTCTACTGACTCACCGTGTCTGGCAGCCCCCTCTAGCACCCTGTCAGGTCTCTACCTCCCCTTGTTCTCTACAAACTTGGTGAGTGGATCTGATCCACAGGATAGGGGGGTTGACCACTTCACTCCTGCGAGACAGCGGGTGACCCACTGCACGTGTGCTCGGACAGGCCGACACTTGGCTACGTTCACCCGTCGGCCGTGGTCGAGCCTGTACACCCTCACTACTGAGTCTCCTCCTGCTGCTGAGCCAAGTCAGGTTTCTGCGTCGAGTCAGGTGTTTGCAGCAGCGTCCATGTCTAGTCCTGAGTCTGCTCACTGCTCGTGTCGTCTCCTGTCTCACCAGACTCTCCTTTGGCACCACCGCCTTGGTCACCTCTCTCTGCCTCGTCTCCGAGGCATGGCCTCCCGTGTCCTTATCTTTGGTCTCCCCCGGTCTCTCCCTCCCCTACCTCCGGGGCCTGCCCCTACCCGCGTCCGCTGCGTCGAGAGGCTACAACGTGCCGCCCCTCACTCCTCCGAGTTTCCTCCGACAGAGGCTCTGTTAAAGACTCTTCACATGGACGTGTGGAGCCCCGCCCGCGTCTGTGGCCAGGGGCACGAGCCTTACTTCCTGTTGGTGGTTGACGACTACTCGCGTTACAGCACGGTCTTCTCCTTGCGCAGCAAGGGTGATGTCACTGAGGTGTTGATCGACTGGATCCGCGCAGCTCGTCTCCAGATCAGAGAGAGTTTCGGCTCCGACTTTCCTGTTCTGCGTCTGCACTCGGACAGAGGCGGGGAGTTTTCCTCTGCCCGTCTGGGAGCCTTCTGTCGTGCACAGGGCATCCGCCAGACCTTCATGCTTCCGGCCTCTCCACAGCAAAATGGGATTGCTGAGCGCCGCATTGGTATGGTCATAGACGTCGCTCGTACGTCCATGATCCATGCGGCTGACCCCATTTTCTGTAGCCGTTTGTGGTTCCGTACACGGCGCATCAGCTCAACCTTCAGCCCCGGGTCTCCTTGCCAGAGACCTCCCCCACCTTGCGATGGATGGGGAAGGTTGGCGATGCGTCTGCGTTTCGGGTCTGGGGATCTCGGGCGTTTGTCCGCGACTTGTCTGCGGACAAGGTGTCCCCCCGTGCTGTTCCCTGCGTCTTCCTTGGCTTCCCCCCTGACGCGCTTGGGTGGCAGTTTTACCACCCCACCTCGCGCCGTGTTCTGTCCTCCCAGGACGTCACCTTTGACGAGTCGGTGCCTTACTACCGTCTCTTCCCCTACCGCGCTGCGCCCCTTCCCCCGCCGCCGCTCTTCCTTGCACCAGGTCCTCCCCTGGTAGACCCCCTCCCCCCTTAGGGTCCAGCCCCGTCAGGTGTGTCCCGGGTAGACGCAGTCGAGCCTGTCGAGGTAGCTGTTGACTCTGGTGCTGCTAGAGGTGCTGAGCCTGCAGGTGCCGGATCTGGAGGTGCTTGTCAGATTTATATGACATAGCTACTGTAGGCTATAGTGGGGTAGCACATATGGGGTACAGCTTTTCTAGGGTTTGTATTTGTACCCAACTTTCACTTAGTCATTTTCTTTTCTCGTTCAAATCTTCTCATGGTATCGAGCAGGTTCCCCTGTGGGAACTGCGCCTAGGGCCCACCACTTCGATTTTTTTTTTACTGCCTGAAGCGCACTCATCCCGAGTCGCGCCTCGGGCTATTCACTCACCGAGCCGCCCTAGCGGCCTTCTCTCCCCTAGCGGCCCTGCCGCCCTAAGCTATCGCGGCCCCGCCGCCCTTCCTTCGCGGCCCCGCCGCCCAGCTCACGCGGCCCCGCCGCCCTCTGCTAAGCGGCCCCGCCGCCCTCTGCTAAGCGGCCCCGCCGCCCTCTGCTAAGCGGCCCCGCCGCCCTGCTACAGCGGCCCCGCCGCCCTGCACTTCGCGGCCCCGCCGCCCTACACTTCGCGGCCCCGCCGCCCTCTACTAAGCGGCCCCGCCGCCCTTCCTTCGCGGCCCCGCTGCCCTGCTCACGCGGCCCCGCCGCCCTCTGCTAAGCGGCCCCGCCGCCCTCTGCTAAGCGGCCCCGCCGCCCTCTGCTAAGCGGCCCCGCCGCCCTGCTACAGCGGCCCCGCCGCCCTGCACTTCGCGGCCCCGCCGCCCTGCACTTCGCGGCCCCGCCGCCCTTCCTTCGCGGCCCCGCCGCCCTGCTAACCAGCCCCGCCGCCCTCTGCTACCGCGGCCCCGCCACCCTGCTAACGCGGCCCCGCCGCCCGGCTTCAGCGGCCCCGCCGCCCTGCTAACGCGGCCCCGCCGCCCTGCTTCAGCGGCTCCGCCGCCCTTCCTTAGCGGCCCTGCCGCCCTGCTTGAACGGCCCCGCCGCCTCCCTTAGAGGCCATGCCGCTCTCCTCTCCTGCCGCGCCACCCGAGCCGCCGCCCACTGCACCACCCTGCAGCGTGCACCCGAGCAGCCGACCGCCGCGCCGCCGAGTACCGGAGGAGCCGAGCCGCCTAGCCGCTGTGCAGCCGAGCCGCCCAGCTGCCGAGCCGCCGAGCCGCCGAGCCGCAGTACTGCCGAGCTGCCCAGCAGCCTGCCGCCGAGCCGCCGAGCCGCCCAGCCGCCGAGCCGCCGAGCCGCCCTGCCGTCGAGCCGCCGAGCCGCCCAGCCGCCGAGCCGCCCCGCAGCCGAGCCGCCCTACTGCCGAGTCGCCCGACCTGCCCTGTCTGGTGAGCACAGCCCCACTGCTACTGCGTGCCCTTCCCCCCACTGCTTGCACTGCTAGTCTGTCGTCATGGCTACCCCTAGTGTCCTCGCTTTTGACGCTGAGGGTCGAGCCATTGACTTTGAGGTCTGGGTGGACGACCTGCAGCTGTTTTTACAGTGCGATAGGGCGGACGGTCTTTCTCTCTTTGACCTCACCTCTGGCGCCTCTCCTGCTCCTGCTGCTGATGCTGACCCCACTGTTCGCTCTCAGTGGGCCACCCGCGATGCTGCTGCACGTCTTGCTGTGCGTCGCCACCTCCCTACCTCTGAGCGCGCGCACTTTAGTCAGTACAAGAGTGCTCAGACCTTGTACGACGCTGTAGTTGCGCGCTACTCTTCCCCTGCCACTGCTGCACTGAGCCGCCTCATGCTACCGTACCTCTTTCCTGATCTTACTGCCTTTCCCACTAACGCTGACCTCATTACGCACCTCCGCACTAGTGACACTCGCTACCGCGCCGCCCTTCCTGTTGAGTTCTGCGCCAAGAAAACCCCCCCATGTACATCACTCTCTATTACATAGTCACACGCCTCCCTGACTCCCTTCGCGTAGTCAGGGACCACTTCCTCTCAGTCTGTCCCACCACTCTCACTGTCGACCTCCTCGAGAAGGCCCTCCTGGCGGCGGAGAAGAGCATCGTCGCTGTAGGAGCCTCTCGTGGTGACCCTCGCACCCCCATCTTTGAGGGGTGTTCTCCTTCCCCCCTGCTGCCCTCTGTTGCCTCTACTGCTCCTGCCGACTTGCTTGGTCTTGAGTCGGTCGGCGCGGCGTCTGCCCCTAGCGGGAGACGCCGACCTGGCAAGGGCAAGGG